ATTATTGGTAGGCTGAAAGACTCTTCCATTGCTTTAATTTTACATATTGATGTTATCCTAGGAGAGTGGAGTTGGAAGAATGAATTTTTTTAAATGTTTATATGAAAGACTGGCAAGCTTTTTTTTTTTTTTTTTGGATCTCACTATGTAGTTCAGGCTGTCCTTGAATTCACTACATAACCCAGGTTGGCCTCCAACTTGTGGCTATCCTCCTGACTCAGCCTCCCCAGTACTGGGATTATAGGTGTGCACCACCAAGCCAGCTCTGGCAAGCTTTCTCTATGGAGGGCCAGATAACAAATATTTTGGCCTTTGAGAGCCATGTAATCTTCACTAAAATACTTACCTCTGTCATAGCACAAAAGAAGCCTCAGAAAATAGGTAAACAAATGGATATGGCTTTGTCCAATAAAACTTTATTTTAAAAAACAGTGGAACATAGTCTGCCAATATTATGATCTCTATAAAATTATTGTTTTGAAAGATACTTCATTATATTAAAATGTTGCACCTATATGAAAGCATGTCCTTGAATTTTGTCCCTTCCTTTTGACACCTGTATTTATGATCTATGATTTTAGTGTGATTTGCACCTTAGGTTCTGTCCAAATTGAAAATTCTATTTCTTCCAAGATTACAAAAAGAACATGCAATTAACCAACATAAATATAAGTGATATTTTAAAGGCAAGACAGTTATGCTGAGCATATGATGGATAAGAGCAAAAAGGTTAAGTAGATGTTCTAATGTAAGCCAAAGCAGAGAAATGCTATAAAGACACAAAAAAGCATAACTGGCACATCTATGAGCTATTTAGAAGCAACAGCGTCAAACAGACCAACTTAGTCAGGAGGCAAAGAGCAAAGTCACTTTTTATAAGCAACAATGATCTGCATTTTCACTGTGCAAAGTTCTTTCAGCTACAAACCAAACAGGTCTTCAAGGGTACCCAATGTGTAAAGAATCGCCGCTCAGGCTTTCTGTCACACCTACACACAGAGATAACCCAATCATTACAGAACAACAACGACCAGCCAGGCAACCAAGACACAGCGTGCCTTGTAATAAATCAATGAGAGACTTCTTTCACAGGGTACTGGGCTTCAGCTTTTGTTTTAAACTTGATGAGAAAAAGACTTGAAGTCTACAATTTAGTATTTGAATTTCTGAACTGAAGAATGTAATGAGCAAATACAGTGAGTACTGTATTCCCACAAGCAGCGAAGGGATAGAAACACAGCTTTCTTTAGGACTTGAGATTGACATTCTAAATTTATTACAATACTTTTATTAAAAGGATAGTAGCTTTTAGTTTGGAACAGTAAGATGTATTTTCTACCAGCCCTTTTTTCCAGGACTGGAGGACTGACCTCCCGATGTTTGTACTGAGCTACATCTCTAACTTTAAAAATTACTTTTAAGCAACATCTTGCTAAGTTGCCCAGGCTGGGCCTAAACTTGTGATCCTCCTGTGTCAGCCTCCCAGAGTGCTGGGGCTATCGGCATCCTTCACTTTCTTGAGTGGACCATGGATCAGACATCCTTTGAACAGGACAGAACCGGACATGGGCACAGATGCAGGTGGGTGAGTGGATGTGGTGGATGACACATGTGAAAGTTTCCTTCTAGTTGGTTTTACGTTCTCCGTGAAGTGGGAAGAAAGAAAAAATAACAAAGAAAATCTGGACGTTTAAGAAAAAGGAGGCATCTGAAAACCACGGAATAACTGAGTTAAGATAAAAAGATTGTTCAGAACTTTCTTGAAAAATTGAACTCCTGTTTCTTTGTACGTGGATAGCACAATCCTTAGTATACTTTACAAGCTTTGACTTGAGGCTGGAGAAACAATGGGTTGCCATGGATATAGTTGAAAGAAATACAACTCTGAGGGTTGATTTTTAAAAAAAAGTATAGAAGTCAGGGGCTAACACTTTTAACATACTAGTTGGTTACATCACAGAAAAAAACTGCAACTAAAGGTGAATGGAAATCTTATGAGTATTCTTGCCTTTTCAGTCACTCTGCCATTTGGCAGAATACACCAAATCCTTAAAAAAAAATCTAGTAAAATATTAGAACAGGTAAAGTTTATACAAGCAGGGTAATGAGAATTTTTTGAAGAAAAAAAAAAAGTGAAAAGGTAGCTGGATTATTCTAAAAAATGATCCAGCATGCAGAAAAACAGAAAAGACAATTTGTCACAGAGGCAAAAAAAAAGGGATGTTTAAAATCAAATGTAGATATGAGTACACCGATTTAAAAGTGGTCATAAAGACCACAAAGTGTTTTTCGCTTACGTATTGGGTAAAAACAGTATAAGTATGTTTTACTTTTCGACCATGAATTCATCAAAACTTAATCATTTCTACTGGAGCCATTTAATAGTTACAGAAGCAAATGAACTTGAAAAAAATGAGCAATACTTTCACAGGATCTGCTGCAACAGAACTGTAACATTTCTACTGATTTGCTATGACATACCAGCCCAGGGAAGAGTTTACAAGCTCTAACATCTATGGGGTTAACGGTAGGTAACAAAATGAGGTGTCAAGTGTAGGGGACAACATGGAGTTGCAGGAATTTTGAACAGGTAGCCCAAGGGCACAGCTAACACCCGGGTAGCTCAGGCTACTGCTGTCACATAGAAACCATGCTGGTTTACTAGTTTCTAATTCTTTGGATGTCCTAGTTTTTATGTGCAGTCTCTCAATATTTAAAGTATTTGCAACTAATTCAAATTTGTAAACTCTGTGCAGACCATACAATGTATGCTTACAGAACTGCTCAGGTCCCATAGTTGTCTAGCTTCCTATTAGCTATTTCTCCATTCATTATAATTAAGGTATGTATCAGCAGATGTTAATATTTTTGAATGAAAGAGTATCATGGGGTAGGTGAAAGAACCTTGCACCAAAATTCAGAAAGGCTAAATTTCAGGGTAAGTGCTGCCATTTATTTCTAGCTGGGTGACCTTTTGGAACTTCTGTTTATTCTTTTATAAAATGCAATGTTATGAACTACTGTCTAATTCACTGAGCTGTCTTAAACAGTAAATTATAAAGTAGGTCAAAGCACATCTTAAACTATAAAGCTTGATAACTACAAGTAAATGGCTTTTAAAAGAGACTTAATTAAAACAAAAAGTCCTGGGTTTAATCCCGGTACTATAAAAGAGACCCAATAGAGTAACGTAAGAACATTTCATTTTCTATGTTGAGTCAGTCCCCTCAAAAAACGAGAATACAGATTGCTTAGTTCATGGGGTTTCTCAAATATATTAAAATTGCCCTTTTCAAATGTTAAGTGCCATGTAATACTTGGTAATAAAACATTTAGTTAGTATGACCAATTTACATTAATAAAGCCTTTTTTTTTTTTTTTTTTTTTGAGACAAGGTCTTACTGACTGTGTAGTTCAGGCTGGCCTTAAACTAATGATGTAGCCCAGCCTGGCCTTGAATTTGCATTGATCCTCCTGCTTCAGCCTCCTGAGTGCTGGATTATATATGTGCATCACCAACCTGGCAAAGCCATTTTTTATAATCTCTAAAGAACTGAGTGCACTATTGGATTTCCTAAAGCAACGAACAATTTCATGTGGCCAGTTTGGAAAAAGTTATCTGAGGTCCTCATTTTTCTCTCCCTTTTCTTTTATGGTGTTTGTAATACAATTTTGTAATGGGCCAGATTTATCTGTTCCTTACTGCTAGTTTCTGGAAACACTGACGGCAGTGGTTGGATATAGGTGGTGACTTAAGGGAAAGTGGAAGCATCATATCTTGGCTACAATTTGTAAATTCAGAATCAGGGCTAAGACTAACAATTCTTCCATTTAACAGTTTCTAGATAAAAATTTCTTTCTCTCTCTTTTTCCTTGTTATAACAGATTGAACTCAGGCCCTTTGCAGTGAGCCCCATCCCCAGTCCTTTTAAAATATTTAGAAGCAGCGTCTCATAAGTCACTAAGCCTGGACGCAGATTTATAGTTCTCCTGCCTGATAGTGTGGGACACCATGGCCAGGGGAGAAACCCTGTCTTGTGCTGTTTTATGAGATTCTTCATGTTCAGCTTTCATCAAACTACAGCTGACCTGGCAAACTCCAATCAAGCTTCTTTATCAGCCTATTTCTTGAAGACTAGTGGGAGGATAAATTGAAGGCAACTGAAAAGACTCAAAAGGCTTTAAATTAGTTTTTTTATTTAAAAGCACATTCCTGGTGAGATTACTTTGTAGCATTTATTCAAAACTAAAAAATGATGAACTTTGAAACAAAAATGTATTTACTTGTTTGGGCATTGCTATCTTAAGTATTTCTTCCTTTTCTTTCTTTTTTCTTGAGATGCTGGGGATTTAATCCAGGGCTTTGTGCATGTTAGACAAGTACTCTACCTTTGAGCTACATCCCTGGTCCTAATACCCTTAATTTTAAGGATATCTGAACATTAAGCAATTATTACTAGGAAAGCACGTACATAAACAACCTTCCATGTGACAGATATTTGGTAGACTAATAATTAAGATTTTTTTTAGATTGGCATCTTAAGGTTAAAAATCAAGAAGTTCACATACTTCCACTGATTCATCTCAAATTTAACCTAAATGAAAAAATAATACTGAATGCAACATTTGGAGTCTCTTAAATTTTTACTTGAATTTAGTATTTCTTCCCATTTCTTTATCAATATTGGACAATAAGTTAAACCCACCAGTTAAAAATACAGCTAACATAGTTTTGCAAGAGCAAATAAACTTTAATACCTAGTGCTGAAGAGAAAGCCCTTTTAACTTTTGACTCATTATTGGATTCTCCTAGAAATCAGATTTAGTATCACAGATACATAGGTTACACCATAGATAGCAACTATCTGATTCATTAATTTCTATATACAGTCAAATCAGTTCCTGTTATAAAGAAACCAAAGCTATACTTTAAGTATGTCAGTGCTATACTAGGGGTGTAACTCCTTATATAGCAAGCATGAACATGGCATCAAACTTACTTTTCCAAAGAAGCCTTTGAAGAACTTCCTTTCCTGGAGGAACAGGGGGACAAGTCGAGTGCTATTATTGTATGGGCTAAATGTCCCAGGGTTTCACATCAATAAGCACAAACAGAAGTAAGGGAAGGGGCAAGGTGGGTAAAGGTAGGGAGTGAGAGTTTTAAAAGAGTTATCCATACCAGGAGTGACAAGGAGAAAGGAAGGTGCATGAAAATGCAGGGAGACACGCTGTGTGGCCTAGGAATCCACAGAAAGAGGAGAAATCACAACCTGTATTCATGCAACTAATTTAGTAATCTCTATTTACTTTCAAAACAGAGATTATCCAAATTTGGCAGCAGAGAAAAACATTAGAATACACTTGTTTGGTTTGATTTTGTATTTTAAATTCATAGTAGTGAGGAACAGAAGACTGGTTCCATATATATTTTTCAATTTAAAATCAGTGGCAGCGAGGTGCAGGTGCAATGGTGAGTGCCCACAGTCCTAGCTACTTGGGGAGATAAAGCAAGAAAACTGCTTGGGGTGTAGGGTAAACTTGAGCAACACATAAGAAGTTATCTCTTTAAAAATAATTTTTAAAAAAATCAGTGGTGAACTGTGGCCACACAATTATGTAAAAATGCAATAGGGCTGGGAAAGTACCTCAGTGGCGGAGTCCTTACCTAGCATGTGTGAGGTCCTAGGTGAGGTCCTAGGGTCCCTAGCACCACAAACAAGGCAAAGTTGCAACACATAACATGAAACTGTGAGCATATATCATCAGTCCTTGTACCATTTCTTCTTACTGAGTTCAAGATGTCACCTAGAGAAGTCCATTCTATTTACGGAGAACTTACCCACTGGCTTCCTATTTTCTTATGTATTAGTATCAATTTGTATGTCTTTGTGTGCTATTAATTCCACAATATACACAGGGAAATAACAGATATGTTTTATTCCAGGTATAAAATAAATCACCTATAAAAACACAATGCTAAGGTTTACACTGGAGCCAAGAAAACACTTCTGAGAACCAAACTGTCTGTAGGCCACAGACAAAGTTTAGGAATTAGAATTTTGTTTTCTTTCTAGCCCCCTCCCCACTTTGGCAGAGGGATTTAACTCAGGGCCTCGCCCATGCTGGGCAAGCACTTCTACATCCCAAGCAACATGTAGACTTTGCTAGGACATACCCAACCTCTTTCATTTAATTTTGAGACAGTCTCTCCCCCACCCCACAGTCCCTCTTTCTCTCTCTTTTGGTATTTTTGAGACAGGGTTTCTCTATGCAGTTCAGGCTGGCTTCGAACTCACAGAGATCCTCCTACCTCAGCCTCCCAAGTGCTTGGATTACAGACGTACTCCAACTCACCCAGAGAGACAAGATCTGTTTAAATTGCCTAGGCTGGTCTTGAATTTGTGGTCACCTTGCCTCAACTTCCAGAGAAGCAGGGATTAAAGGCATACACTATCACACCGAGCTTTTCTTTTAAAATGCTGTTGTTTTAAAACACACATATTGACATTTATAAATATGCAATTCTGAAATTATCTAGATAAGAGAAGCATATTCATGGTTCTACCATCAATTTTTAACCATTGTTTATAAAAATCAATGACTAATTAAGCTCTGAAGAATTTATGTGAAGTAGGTGGGTTCTAACTTAACAAACCTCGCTTACCTTTACATTTCTCACTTGGGGATGAACTGTAGTTTAAGCTATTACTTTTTATAATTACCAATGTCTACTTTTGGATAAATTTCCAGGAAAAGACAACTATACTAAAGTTTGACTCAGAGACAATTTATAAATTCATTCAATACTTTGTTTTTTTATTGGTACTGGGGATTGAACTCATGACCGCCTGCTTACAAGGCAGGTGCTTATGCCGCTAAGCTAAATCCCCAGCCCCTCAATACTTTCAAATACTGGAATTTTTTTCCCCTTAAGGTATAGCAATCACAAATAGCATCAAGTATTCCCACAAGATATTCTGAACTTAAAACTGGAAGAATAAGAATGTAACTGGGGCAGTTATGGTAGTAAGACTAAGGCTATTTCTGCTGCCAAGTTTGGTGGCCCTAGTTTTAATAAACTATGAGTAACCATCAGCTTTCAAGGATGCAGCCAAAGTTAAAAGATTCACCATTCTTGAGGGATAGGAAGGGCAGGAAGGAGGTTCGTTAATATTTAATACAGCTCCTAGAAAAGCTTTTGTTAAGTACGGAACCCTCTTCTTAGACCCCGGATGTTAATGAGAAAAGCTGACGTGCAAAATGCATAAAAAGTTATTAGATTAGAGAATATTAATGTTTTAAAAATTAAGTTATGATTCCTTTACCTGCTAAAACAAGAACATACATTAAAACAAATATATCAAATAATGAATAAAATCCCAACATATTAGAAACTGAGAGTATAATGAAACTAATCTAAAACTAAGGCAAGGGAGAGACACGTAAGAGACAGTGGAAAGAAATGACCTTTTAAAATGAAGGGCATTTTGGACCAGAGTGAGACAAAAATAACCAAAGGCTTGAAATAATATTTACAAAGCCAACTGATAAATAACAATATTCCTCTCTCTGTAAGTGACTATGCCATGTGGGCAACAAAAATGGGCAACAGCCAGTTCTGTCGTTTTTCTTATATAATCTAAATCCTGTAGTAGCTGGTAAGTAAAATTATGTCACAAAGGAAATGAGTTGAAAATAGCTATAACTAACACTATGTATAGAAAGTGTAAGAATTTTAAAAACATGCTCTTAGGAACACATTTTTGAAACTGTCTTATTTAGTGAGGGCATATTTTTCATTTGAGAATATCAAATACGCAGATGGCTTCCAGCCAAGGTTCAAGTAATTCTAAAGTATAAGGGACTACTTTGGAGGGGAAAAACACCTCCCTCCACAACTATTCTTGGAAATTATTTTCTTCCTCAGTTCTCCACAACTTTAAAAATTACTAGAAATGTTAAATGTTTATAAAGGTCATTTGTATAAGTTTAAAATATTTGGTTTACTACTTAACTACATAATTCTTTAAACTTTAAAACTTTGACATTCAAATTAATTCCAAAGGTGTTCTATTTGTGTACCTTTATATTTGTTTCCATTTAAGAAATTTTAAAAGGAAGTTGTATAGTTAAAATCAAGCTAATAAAAACCTCCAGACACAAAGTGGTTGGCACAATTTTAGTAACTCAAATAGCAGGTTGTAGATCCTCAGGGATTTTTGTTAGAAGCACGAGGGGCAAGGGGCAAAATGACACCTAGCTATGTTGATATTGTAAAAATGTGAAAAGAGACCAACATTATGAATCTAGGAACCTACTAGTATGATCTGAGAAGAACATCATCCTAGAGACTTGGAGCTTGCTTCAAGATTCTCAGTACTGCACTATGTTTCATTGAACATAATAAACAGGAAGTCTACCCCATCATCCAAAAATTCAACCACATTTTTTAGTAATATATGTCTGCCAATGCAAAGATATACATATTTGATCCAAGTCTCTTCTCCTGGATAGCATTTTTCTAACAATTTTAAGTAACTTCTTTATGACAGCTCAGAAGGGGTCAATTTCCCCTCAAAGTTCAAAAGTTTAAGTATGTCCAAATAAGTAATCGTCTAAACATTTCTGTATCTCTAATCTTTTTATTATCTATCTTTTTAGTCATACAAGACCACAGGGAAGTAAGATCTGTAGAGATTTCTAAACTTTAAGAAGTTATACGTAAGATATAATTTTGACAATTACAGTACTAGATTGAGTACTAGATCCAATACTGAGTATGTATTCCAGAGACAGATCTGATTAGTTACTATGTGTCAAACATAGTTTTAGATACAGGTATAATTTTAAAAATGGAAATAAAGAATAAAAAGTGGCTAGAGGTATAACTCAGTAGGAGAGTACCTTGGGTTTGAATCCTAGCACTGCAAAAATTTAAAAAGGAAACAAAATTTTTAGGAAACAGAAATTTAGTTTCTATTTCTAAAGAATATAAAAACTCATTAAATAGTATCTAAATAGTCTCATGCCTTAAGTAAATATGCTTACAGTTAATAATCATCTTGGTTTAAAAAAATAAAATAATAAAGTGACAAAAAATCCACTCAATTGAAAAATTAGTTTTGAAACTAGATGGTTAAGTACTACCTATCTGGAATTCCACAATTTGCAAAAGGAAGGAGACAAAGAGATGGGAAGGTGGAGTGGAAGAGGTTGAAAAAAATAAATTAAAATGTGTTTATGCACCCGTCCTTACTCCCCACAGAAATGTAATCACTATGTACTACAAACATGTACTAAGGGAAAAAACCCTGAAAAAATGGTATTTCTTATAGATTTTTGGGTTCATTTGTATATCATGTAATAAATATATACCATTTATATAAAAAAGATGTTTCTAATTAAAAGAAAAATTTTAAAAACTACTCAGCTGGGCCGAGGGTACAGCTCAGTGGTAGAATGCCTACTTGGCATGTGAGGCCCTGGGTTTGAGCCCCAGCACCACAAAACAAAAACAAAACTAAGCAATTAAGACTGAGTGCTCGCTCATTAAACAACTAAATACCATTTCTCAAAATCTTCTGGACAAATTTAAGCCATCTTTTGCTTGTCCTTGCTTAGAAAATGAACACGAAGCCATACTCTCCATGAGAAGATTCTCTAGACTCTCTCCACAGTGGCCTCTTAACCCTAAGTTATGTAAGTTGTAAGATTTTAATAATTATCTGTAGTTTGTTTCAGGTCCATGTAATTCGTTTACTTGTTTGTCTGTTTTCAGTCATCAATATAGTGTTAAAAATAGTCTTAGAGTGGGACAAGTGATTGGAGTAAACTTTTTGTTTGCTGTGGTACTGGAGGTGGAACCCAGGGTGAGCTGAACTACATCTCTAACCCTATCCTTTTTAAGACAGCGTCTCATTAAGTTGCCCAGGCTGACTTTGAATTTGTGATCCCTCCTGCCTCAGCTTCTTAAGTAGCTGGGATTAGAGGCACATGCCACCGTATCTAACTTTAAGATGTTCTTAGATAAACTCATCTTATTATTCTTGTAGGTGAACTAAAAATTATTTTGTAAAATAAATTGAATTTTTCTTTTTCTTTTCAATTGGTTTTGGTAAAAACAGAAAATTAAATTACCCACGTCTGTATTTAATTGAGAAATATATTCAGGTAACATGGCAAGTCTATCAACTACAGTTTCACGTATAATACTACATGAGTATTAGTCCTCTCAACAGTATGGGTGAATTAGAGAGGACATAAACGAGGAAGGGGTTCATCATTTAAGAATTCAGACAGATCTTGTTATGCATGGTACAATCGCAAGTATTCAGGTGGCTGAAGCAGGAGGATAGTGAGTTTGTCTCCAAAAATAAAAAAGGCTGGCTGTAACTAAGTGCAAGGTCCTGAGTTCAATCTCCAGTACAGGAAAAAAAGAAAACTAAAATTTTAAACAAAACCCTGAATTCAAATGACTAAACTATGAGGTAAAGTATACACATGGTATATATGAATATATGGATGTGTACTTGTGTCTATTTAGGTTAGTCTTTGTATATTACTGTCAGTTATTTTTCTCTTCTTTTCCTTCTACAATAGATTCAGATTTGTTTCAAAATAAAATTTACCTCTCACATAATTTTAAATTTTATACATTTTATGTTAATGGATTATAGATAAGAGGTAATAGAGTGGTGGCGAACCTATGCCATGCACGCCTCAGTGGGCTATTTGTCTCATTGAAAGCTCTGAAAGGTTTGCCATCACTGGAGTAGACCAATAAACAGAAAAGCTTAGTTATTAAGCAAACTGAGAAAGCACTCATTAGTAGTCAAACTTGTGGCAGCCCACCATATCAGCAAACCCAGAGCAACATGTTTTAATGCTGTTTGGGGTGAGGACATGCACAAGTAATGCTTAAAGCTTTTTGCAGCAAAGTAGGAAAAGGCCATGTATTGGACAGAAGGAAGGTTTGAAGATGGCTGTCATCTAGGGAACATTCCTGAAGCCTATCGAAGTATGAAATTAGTACTTCAATTTGAACCTTTATGAACTGCAAATCCATTCTTTCCTTTTGTTAAATACATAAACATGTGCCTTGGGTGTGTTCTATGGCATAACAGGCCAAGGAAATGTTATTCTGGCATGTGGCTTTCTAGTCCAAGTGTGTGAAAGTTTATGGTAAAAGGCAGTGGAAACAGACTGCTTATGCTAAAGGGATGTGGAGAAGAAAACTGGGAAGCCCGAGTCAAAAGAGTAATGAAAAGCTCCATCTGCCACCCAAAAAAAACCCATTACCAGGCATCAGTGTATGTCTCTTACTTTGTTGTGGAAAGCTGTTTTCCACAGGAGATTTAAAATCAGCAACATAAAACCCATTTCTATTAGGTTAAGATGTTAATTATAATGGTTTTATCCTGATTTTACATTATTATTCTGTCAGATTTCATACCACTTGTTTCATATAAATTGCAAAAGTACATTTTGGATAATATTTGGCCAAAACTGAAGAGGTAGGATATAACATGAGATGTTTTTAGTAAGTCCACATTTCTGGCCTTAAGAGAAACACTGCTCTTAGTGGTACTGGATTACTGAAATTTATCGCACATAATCTTGTAAAAAATACTGCTGTATATAGATCAGTACTGGCAACTATCAAATACATACAGCTTTCAATCTTTTTACAGCTTCTTCACAGATGTGCATTCCTCTTGATTCATCAACTTCTACATGGCCAAGGTACTGTAGAAAGAGGAAAATAAGTTAGTGCCCTTGCCGTGTAACTACTATATGGTAGCTATTAGGAGGTAGAAAATTGAAATTTTTACACTGAAGAATCGCATGGCTATTGCAGAAAAGGCATTCTGGTTTTATTTACCCTAGATATTTCCATATGATTGAGACTTGGAATAATTATATCAAAGAGTTGTTACAAGGGAATATATGAAAAAAGGACATGATAGGCACTAAATGTTATTCATAGCTATTGACTCAGAAGCCTAATATTATCTGAAGCCCTATACCATCACTGTATCTCTAACATAAAAATACCACCAAGACAAACTACATGCACATATCATGAAAAAGCACAAACTAAAACAAGCTTTTTAAAGGCTGAAGAAATCACATTATGGTTACGGGAAATATGTAAGAGCAGGGCAGAACAATTTAACAGCACAATTTTAAAGAAGGTGGTACAAGTAAGCATGAAAAAATGTGCAGCCTTTTAAGAGGGAGAAACTGGAAAGTTACGAAACTATTATAGAATGAAATAAATACATAAAGTTATGAGCATATAATAAGATAACTATATATCAATCCGCACTTATCCCTCCTGGCAATGACCTGAGATAATATATTTGGGGAATTTGAGTGCTGAAATAAGGAGTATGCCCTAGGCAACAGAGAGCTAATAAAGATTCTTTTTGGCCCAGCAGAAATATGATTCAAATTACACATTAGTAGAGGATTAGTTATAGGTTATAAAAGCAGAAGGGATGGTGGCAATATTGTAATTACCCTTTAAAGGAATTACAGGGTCTGGTTCAAGGAAGATAGAGTAGACACTATGTATACATGGGCCCTCTCACTGAAGCAAACTTTAAAATATGGATAGAATACACGAAGCAGCTTATTTGAAGTTTCTGAAAAGTAAACAGTAGGGTAATCAGGGAAAAACACTAGAATTCAAGGCATCATTGAAATGGCAAGGAATTTATCCTTACCCCCAAACCTCTTTGGTACCTTCACCAAGAATTTAACCTTGTATATAAACTTAACAGTCAAAAATCCACGAGTCAGTGCTAGAGCACAGACAGAACTCTGGAAAAACACCTCTAGCTCTGAGTTGAGGTCCAAGAATGGGAACTCTTTCCAGAGTAAAAGAGTCTCAGGAAGTCCAATGGTGATAGTAGTGGCAGTGCAGGAACAGAAGTAGCAAAAAGTGAAAATCTGAAAGAGCCACATTTGAAATGGAGGGGAATCTTCTTTTCTGTTTAGTGGAACTGTGATTCCAGAAAGACGAAGCCAACACCCCTCTTGAATTCATTTATTCATTCATTTCTTCTCTTTCCCTCCTCCATTTGATCCTAGATTCAAATGAGATGTGAGAATATGAAATACAGCAGAAGAGTCAAAGAACTACAGGATCAGAAAGGAGAGCTCCAAGGACCTAAAACACTGGTGAAAGCACTGAGAGGGAGGGAGAAGCCTTGAAAGTGACACCAAGAATTTGTTGATGAATTTTTGGGCTTATTCTGGAGCTGTACAGGAACAGTCTAATGCTAATTAGCACATCAAAGATTTTCAGAACTAAACCAATGGATAGGCCACTTCCTAATTTCTACACTGACCAATGGATGGTACATACATAGGATGGTATTTTTATGGCTTTCAAAACTAGATTGGTACAGGTTGAGCATCTTTAATCCAAAAATTCAGTTCTATAAAATCTGGAACTTTTTGAGTTACAGATATACCACCATCAGATGTAGTATGAAACATAAGTTTTATTTTTAGACTTGAGTTCTCTGCACAGGATTTCATTTTGAATATGCAAATATCCCAAAATTTTAAAAAAATCAAAATCTTTAAAAATTTCTGGCCCCAAGCATTTCAGATATGAGTATTTAACTTGTATCAGAATCACAATCCATACAAGGCAAGCTGCAGCCTGAGACCTAATTGAGTTGCCTGTGTGCTAAAGTAAAATACAGACATTCTTTGGGCTAGTATGAAAGCACAGTCCTAGGCAACAGAGAGGGTTCAGCAGGCATGGTGGCACATGCTTGTAAGCCTAACACTCTGGGAGGCTAACGCAGAAAGGTTGTGAGTTCAAGACCAGCCTAGACAACTCAGTAAGACACTGTCTAACACTTATATTTTAAAAAAAGAGAGATGATAGAGTGGAGATGTAGCTCAGTGGGAGGGCTCTTTTGGCAGGAAGGAACCCCAAGTTTGATCACTAGTACTTTCCAAAATCTCTACAAGATTTAAATAATATCCCAAGCTTTATGATACAATATCCAAAATTACTTGGCATGAAAAAAATGCCATATTCACCAATAACAATAGTACACAGATGTTAGGATTATGTAACAAAGATTTTAAAGAGGTGCTATGGTTTGTGTTAGGATGACCCCCAAGCCTCATGCAATCATGGATGCAGCCAAGTCTGGCGTTCATGATTAGTTTGCTGTCTGGTACTGGAACTGGTGGTGTGAGTGCTGCTCCTACCCAGAGGTGGAGTTGGCATATAGTGTAAGGGAGGGAAGATGAGCTTTGCTCTCTCTTTAGTTCTGTTCACTCTTGCTGTTTATGGTGGCCACGAATGGCTGCCCTGCCATGCCATCCTACCTTGGAGCCAGCCGAGTATGGACTGAAACCCCCAAAACTGTAAGAAATAAACCTTCCCTTACTTCACTTTGGGCATCAGGTATCTTGTCTCAACAACAAGAGAAAAGTAACCAAGACAAGAGGGTATTATAAAAAGATTCAAAAAAGCAATGAATAGTCTTGAAATGAATGAAAAATGAAAATGCTCAGCAAAGAAAATACAATTATCAAATGGAAACTGATTTGTACAACTGCTGAAATACACATACAAATGAACCTGCACAGACTCAACAGGAGAATGGAAGTGACCGAGGAAAGAGTCTATGAGCTTGAAGATCAATCAATTGAAATGGAATTTATACCCTGCATCAAACCCAAAGGGTAAGAAATCAAGTGTCTTGCCTCTTGGGTTTGAAACAAGGCAAGACTGTCCCTTCACCACTGCCAGTCCTTATACCAGTACTTAAGCTTCAAAGAGATTGCACATATTTTGGTTCCGTAGCTCCAACATATGCTCATATACTATAAATGAGAGGTCGAAAGTGGTTGAGGAGTGAACATAAGAAGAAGAAAACTACATTTACTGATAACCTCCAACATGCTTGTGACCTGGAAACTTTTTTTCCCCTTTCCCCTCTGGTGATAATGGGAATTAAACGAGGGCTTTTTCACTGAGTTACACTTCCAACTCTTTAATTTTTAATTTTGAGACAAAGTCTCACTAAGTTACTAAATTGCCCAGGCTGAGCTCCAACTTGTGATCTTTCTGCTTCAGCCTCCCAATGTGGTAGTATTATTATACATATGTCCAGCTTGGGAGCTCTATATATTTTGTTTTTCTGAACAATTCTCAGAAAAGTATGTATGATCATCTAATTTTAAAACTGACGAAAGAAAATGGAAGTTTGGGAATGCTGAATAACTTGCCCTTAGTCACATAAACAGCTGATGAGGGAAAAGAAAGGCTTACACTCATGATTCCTAAGTCTAAGGGTTTTCTCACTTGACTTTAACTCAATTCAGGTAAACTTTCCTAGTTGCCCATCCCAAGGGAAAGAACCATTTCTTTTGTCATTTTGTTTTCCACAACTTGGTAAAAGCAAAGGGATTTTCACCTGGCAATTTCTTCCTCTCACTGTGCTGAAACTATAACAAAATAGTCTCTCTGCATGGCAGGCTGCGGTGGCCAAGGACTGGAGCCACTGGTGTTTACTGGCACCCACGCCCTGCTGGGACCTGGAGCACCGGGAAGCCAAGCAATGCCTCCCACCCTGACTGTTTTGTTTTGTTGAACTTCAATATACATGAAAGTATAGACAACTATTTTGAAGAGAATGAGAGACTCTGCGACAGCCATTAGGGACTTCCCTATTGTCTGATTTTGAAGACCTAAGTTGCCTTCCTCATTCTTTTCAGATCAGCTTTATACTATGTTGTTTTGTATGAATTCTCTGTATGTGAAGACATGACAACTATTTGGAAGAAAAAAAGAGACAATATGATAGTGAAGAGCTCAGGTCATCTAGCTTTGAAATTTATATCTCTTACATTGCTTTCTTATGTCTTATTTTGTTCTATTTTTTTGTGTTTAATTTTACCCCCTTTAAAATAAAAATTAAAAAAAATTAAACAAAAAAAGATAGCCGCTGAAAATTCAGTGAAAACTCTAGAATAACTTTATCATTTTCATATACTCCAATTCCTCTCAAGTTTCAGAATTTCCATTTCCATGAGGCAGACTAGGAGGTGTAAGGACATTTTGGAATATGATACTGTCAATGTTAATCATTATTGAACAAAATTTAAAAATTAAAATTGATAAAGTGTGCACTTTTCTAGTAAGATTGGTTCTGAGGGATCATTTTAGTTCATATGACTATTAGTAGAGGGTAGATTTATTCACTTTCTGCAACTACAGGAAAATAACTAGACTTTGAGATTTACAAATGTATACAGTTCCGCAACCATCACCACCATCAAGGTACAGAACAAGTCAGGTGGCACAAACCTGTAATCCCAGTACTCAGGAGGCTGAGACAAGAGGACTGTTGTGAGTTCAAGGCCAGACTGAACTACACAGTGCGACATTGTTGCCCCCCACCAAAAAAAGATACAGTACAGTTTAGTCAAGGAAAAAATTCCCTCATGCTGCTTATTTATTTCCATTTTTCCCTCCCATTCTGAGATTCCTCCAATACCAATCTGTTTTCCTATAATTTTTCCTTTTAAAGGGTATCACATAAAGAAAATCATTCCCCAGAAACTATGTAAAACAAAGGCACAGGAGTGAATAAAGTATGTGTCTGCATGTACAAATCTGCCAAAATGAAACCCACTAATCTGTATAACCAACATGCATCAATAAAAATGTGGAAAAAAAAATTACATATAGTGTGAGGCTTCTGGGT